TTGAATGTTCTTTGTGGATTGTTATAGTCACACAGCAAAAACCTATAGGACAATTTGAAAACTATAGTTTTGGAGATTGGAACAATTGGTTTGCACAAACCTGAAATGGAGAAATGGAGTTTAAACACAACACAAACAATAGGTCTTCATTTTGCATGGATAGAAAACTGAACAACTTCAACATTAAGCAACACTGTTTAACCCAGATAATTGCAAGGAACACCTATATCAGGTTTACTTGGCTTCTCCTTCTTGTTCGGTTATCTGAGACCTATATTGTGTAGCTTGAATCAGGGTTAGTATATTTTAAACATTGCCAGAATCTTTATTTTTAACAGTATGCACAGTACCTTACTTAAGGGCATGAAAGCTGATGAAGTCCTGGCCCACTAGAACACGAATTCTGAAACTTTAGGGTATATCAGGAGAGCTGGTTAAACTCATTGCTTGCTATACCATCACATTTTCTGATTCTATAGGTTTATTAAATTCTAAAAGTTTGCATTTCTAACAAGTTTCTAGCGATGCTGATACTGATGGTCCAGAGGTTAGACTTTGAGGATCACTGTGCTAAAATACTAGATTATAAATGAGAATATGTCACAAATGACCTCATTTAGTCATCATCAAAATTCATAAGCTAGTGATTTTTTAAACTCCTCAGTTATTTTCCATAAAGATAATGGGAACATGGTCATCTACATGAAAATATATTAGACATCTGTCTGGAATCTTCCGGTTTAGAGATAGAAAATGGATACCTTATACATTTTTATGATGAATAAAGATAAGGCATGGAAACATTCGATCTGACATACAGCTAGCATACATTAAATTGAAAAATGTTTTGGATAAGATGGAACATGAAAATGCCTGGGTATGCAATATTATTTACTCAGTCTCTTCAAAATGCTTGATATATGTTTCATTTTCACAACACTAAAATAAAGATCTGTTGCTAATATTCATCTTAGATAATGGGGAAGGAGTCACCATTACCCCAATTATTAGACTTCTCAAGCTGGTGAATTATCTAAGCCATTCTGGCAATGGGCTTCAGGTCTCCTGTAGCTTTAACCTGAGCTCTCTTATCACTTTACCTTGCAAACTATGGAATACAGAAAACCTTACAGATTCTCAAAGAGTCCATTTTCCTTTACATGGCCAGAGTTTCTAGCTTGAAAAAACCCATAATTTATGTTTGTGGAAGGCCCCCATTTCCTTGGTTAACTATCATCTCCTTCTAAAGTAAACCTCAGTGTCAGGTGGTAAAGGAGGCTGCTCAAAGTGCCCATCTGAAATGGAAAGATTGGCCTGATAATTTCTCCTGCAGTTGCCTCTCAAGGATAATGAGTTGATTTTGTCTCTCAGCTATTGCAGACAAATAATAAACGATCGGCTACTATAGACACCCTTCCCTCCAACTCTAAAAACACAATTTCAAAGAAAAAAATAATAACAAAAATGAAGGAGGAAGTATTTTTAAAGAATTTAACAATATTTGGTTATGGGTGTTTAATGGCTATTTTAGTTTTTTTAACCTCATGATGGAATGAAAAATTAATGAAGACACTGATAAAGATAGGAGGTAAATAATGAAAAAGCCCATCAAGTGTTTTGATAAATATCTCTGCTGAGAGACAGTTAACCTAGGGAAAGAAAAGGGCTAGGGACTCCGCAGTTTTTCTAGACACACCGCAAATTCACAGAGCCATGGAATCTGAATGAAGTGAACGAGTTTGCCACAGGTTTGCCGAAGCAAGAAAGTGACTGCTTAAGGGATTTCAATACAATAAAAGCACTTGGAGAAAAGCATTTCTTGTCACTATTGAGAACTTAAAAGTGTATCTGACCTCAGAAATGCAGAAATATGTAATATTATGAAAAGCTTGTTGAGATTAAAGTATACCATCTAAGATTTTATCTATAAGAAGGTAGAGGAAGAGTAGGACACACAGAGGTATAGCAAGTGAGCAAAAATAGCAAGACTAAATAAAAGCAAGTGAAGCCTGAAGTACAAGCATATTATTTATTCATTTGATGTTCTGGAATCAAACAAGAACTGCACGTTGTGAATACATCAAATATTAGAATTTGCTAAGGATAGCAAAAACAAACAAACAAACAAACAGGAAGCAAAGGCAATAATCACACTAGATCCTCAAAGGAAAATTAAGGAGTTTACTTTTGCTCCTGTGAACACAATTAATTGCTCTCATCAACACCCTGCAAACTTTACTCTCTCTCAACCTTTTCTTTGTCATCAGGCATCTCATGTGTTGCAATTGTTCACACTGGTCTATAGGAGACACTGATAAGTGTATCAAAATTAGCAAATAATGTGATTTTATAGGTCTCATTTCAGCATCACCAATTTTTTTTAGATAGTCATACAGTCATCTCAACTTTCCAGAACTGGAAATGGAAGTTCCTTGACCGGAAGACACAGCAGATGCCACAGCAGGACTGTGAATCCCCGACCCTGGAACTCTTACAAGGGCTGAGCTTCGCTGACTCCTGAGGAAGCAGCAGTGGGATTCTGCATATTTCCAGAGGAAAGCAGGGGTGACAGCAAGAGCCACAATGTCCATGAAACCCAACAACTGGACAGGCTCTGACACTTGCCCCAAACTTTTGGGGAGCTGCCAAGCTGTGTTAGAGAACAGATGAAAGGTGAAGAGGAAACATGGATGGCACAGTAACTATGAACAAATCTGTACATATTCCCTGTCTTAAAGTTGTTTTTAAAAATATAATATACTCTTTTCTTATTCCACAGGATTCTGACAAGACTATATTTAAGTAGACCCACTTGCTCAGCTCCAGAGGAGGGCTATGACTTAGGAATAGTTGTCACATTCCAAGGACAGTTCTGGGGCAGGCACATGAACCAAGATACCAAGATGTACTTCATGAACCACTTTGTTCAGTAAGAGCTCTAAACAAAAACACAGTGCAGAACACACGGGTTTGGAATAAAGGCAACACAAAAGAAAGAAAAATTGAAAATGAGAGAAACAGAGAGAGAGGATTGGTATAAACTGATATCATCTTCAAAGCTGTGAATTTTTAGGCTCTAGATTCAGCTGTGCTCAGTCATGTGAGATCATAAACTATGTATTTGATTAACCTATTGAGTTGATTACCATCACTTCCAGCCAAAAGTGTCTTGATTACAACAGTGTCTCCTTTTTCTGAACTTGTAATAGGAATCACATTTTTAAAATAACAATGTTACTTAAAAGCAGAGCTAAGGTTTAGAATTTAAGGAGAGAACTGTTTTTGACACTATAACAATTGCATAACTGACACCTACTATGTGCCGAGCACTGTTTAAAGCACTTTGCAAATATTTTAATTTAATTCTTGCAATTACATTACCATAATACTCATTTTATAGATAAGGAAAATGAGTCCCAGGTCAAATAACTTTCTAAGGTCACACAGGTAATATGTTATTGTTTATGAAGTCCTTTAAGATCAGGACCAATTGTTATCTTTTTTCAGGCTGCTATAACAGAATAATAACAGAATATTACAGACAATATGGCTTAAACAACACCATTTATTTCACATAGTTCTAGAAGGCAGGAGGTCTAAGATCAAGGTGCTGCCAGATTGAGTGTTTGATGAGGACCCTCTTCTGGGTTTATAAATGGAAGAGAGAGAGAGAAAGGAAGAAAGGGAGGTAGGGGAAAGTAGAGAAAGACAGACAGACAGACAGACAGAGAGACAGAGAGAGAGAGAGAGAGAGAGAGAGAGAGAGAGAGAGAGAGAGAAAGTGAGAGGGAGAGAAAACAATAAAAGAGCTCTCTGGTCTCTTCTTACAAGGCACTAATCCCATCATGAAGACTCTACCCTCATGACCTTATCTAATACTAATTTTCCCCCAAAGGCCTTGCCTCCTAATACCATATTATATTGGTAGGTGATGCTTCAACATATGAATTTGGGGTATCCAGGAATTTTCCATTCAGCACCAGTTCCAATCAAGGGTAGCCAGGGCCAGGGGCATGCAGCTGTACCAGTACGAACGTCCACCTTCCCCAAACTCTCGTTCATTGCATAGGTTGTATGCATAGTTAATGCTCCATCATTCCAGAGCACTGATGGCAGGAGGGTAAGCGACCACATCACAGATTAGCCAGAGACAGAGAAAGAAATAATGGAATCCCAACCTTCTCTTTACCTTCATGGAAGTATAAAGATAATTATTTTTGAAATTGAGAAGCAGATTGTAAAGAAAGATTAAATTTGGAATATAGTAATGTGTACATCCATTATAGCCTGAAAGTTCCCATTTGCAAATAAACGTATGCCTAAAATGGACTAATTAGCACTGCCTAAAATTTAGAACAGTTCTTGCAGATACTATAAATATACACTATATTAAGCTATAAAACAAAAGATAGTTAAGGGACTTTTGGCTACAAAACTTAAAAATATTTTATAAGAAAAGCTTTTACATATCTCCAATTTAAAAATGAAAAATATGCTCATACATTGGATAATGTCAAAGGAAGACATTTTTATGTAACCTTACTGTATATTTACATTAATGATGATTATGATGATGAAGAAACATCTACCAGAAAAAAGAAGAGATTCTTTGACACTATTAACACCAAATAACCCCCTTTACAAAGTTTTAGCAGATTTCTTTCTCTTTTGAGTCCTATTTTATCTCTCTTGACAGCATCATAAAGTAGAAAATGTCTAAAGAGACTATAAAAATATGAGGGCAAGTAGTAAGCACAGCACTGCTATTCAGTATTTTTAGTTGAGCTTCGTTTTTTTCCTCCATATTGCCTTTGCATTTAGTGTGGCTTTTGACAGGCATAGAATGAGGCCACCATTTGCAGTATAGATTTTCCAATACACAGGTGCTGAAAAATACACAAAATTTCCAATGCACAAGTTGTAATTATAGCCTTTCTAATTCTGTATTGACCTGTAAGGAGATGTATACAGTATTTGTGGAACCAGTCAGTCCTGTTCACCTTCCTGCTTGCCCAGGATCTGGTGGGTTCTGCTTCCAAACCCCCAGGTCCCACCTTAGGAATGATCTGCCAGCTGATTTCCCTGCACTGTCTGGCTGTAGGTCCACAAGCCTTATTCAGGGAAACTGTGAAGCCCATGTGTTCTGGCTTCAGTGGCTCCCTCGGAGATCTTTCCAGGGCTTTGGGAGCTGAGTCATGGGAGAGGAGCTCATCACATCCCTCCAGTCAGGACCAGAGTGGGAGGAGAGAGCTTGCTAGCCAGGGCCCTGAGGACAATGAGGTGCGCTCACTTTCTCTCTCTCTCTAGTGTTCCCCATTTGTTGGCATAAATCTTCATTGTGTTTCAATTTGGCTTTTAACAGATCATCCGGAAAAATCAGGCCTCCAGACAGCAACCCTTATCTGCCCACCATCCTGAGAATTAAGTAAGTAGGGCTTGCTCAGATAAGTCAATTAAAGCTGGAATTTTTGTGACTATGAGCTATGCGGTTTTAGGGTGTCCTAGGGAGACTTGAAAGTCCCAAAAGACAGATAACCCTGCCCTTGGAAGCCACAAGTGCCCCAGTCACCTCTACTGCCTCTGCCTCCTAGACACCAGGTGCATCTTCCTTAGAGAGGCCCCTCAGCTAACTTTTAAAATCAACATTATCTATGAAACAAGAAGGGTGAGAAGACATAATAAGCCTTGAATTCTCTGACCCCTCCTCTGAACATCATTTAAACTGAACCCTTGCAATCATGTGAGCCTTCACACAGGAGTAGCAGCCCCCAGACTTGCTCTGGCCCTTCTCTACCCTTTGAGAAACTCGGCTGTGGCCATAAGCAAGAGCATGAGTAAGGCCTGGGCAACACCCAGAGCTAGAAACCCATGCTTCAGGGGTCGGAGAGAAAGGGGCCCAGGCCGCCCGGCAGGAGCACAGAGGCTGGCAGAAGCCCACCGCCAGCTTCTACTCTCCCTTGTTACTGTGGCACTGGGCCAAGAGGAGAGACAGAGAACAAGGGAGGTAAGGACCAGGACCCCATACACACCAAGCCTGGCTATGGTCAGGTCAACCCAAGGCACCCTCAGGGTCTCCAGCTCAGGGAACTGGTGACACTACAGAAGGCCAGTGCCTTCGTTCCCTAAGCAGAAGTCGTAGAGGCTGATTCTCAGGCTGGGCAGGCCAGTGAGGTTGCCAGAGGAGAGCGTAGAACAGCAGGGAGATGACTACAGCAGTGAGGATCACCAGCGCCCTGCCTTGGCCTTGGGATGGTCATCTTCTCCTGCTCGTTCCAGGGCTGCCCTCCCAGACACAGTACTGGAGGCTGGAAGTCCAAAATCATGGTACTGGCAGATTTGGTGTCTGGTAAGGCCCACTTTCAGGTTCATTGATGGCGTCTTTTAGCTGTTTCTTCGCATAGTGAAAGGGATATTTTTACTTTCTAATCATCTTTTTCTTAAGAATATTTATCAAAATATTTACTTATCTTACAAAATAAATATCTTACAAAAATTCAACACGACTCTGTAAAAAACAACAATTGAGATTTTAGTTTAAGAAAATATATCTAGTTCAACTGATAAAATACTATTACTTTTATGAGAGAGAAAGAGAGAGAGAGAGATAAACTAGGAACTTATTACTTTTCTCGATCTCAACCTAGGGGAAGTGTCATGGGAAAGCTGAAAGCAGGTGAGAACTTTGCAAAATGGCTTGCATAGTGATGGCGAAGTGAGAATATGCAGGAAGCCAAGAACCTGAGTTTGTCACATGTCCTCTTGACAGTATTCTCTACAGGACTAGTGAGATGGATATATAGCAGCACGCCTTACAAGGTGACTTTGGACATGTATATGTATATATCTTCACCATTATTTCAGGTTTGAACCTAATACGTAACCAGAAAAAAAAAATGCGGGACACGGAACGATATACAAGAGGTGCTAACTGCGCTTTTTGTTGTTTTTTTCTTTGTTTGTTTGTTTAATAAGAGTGCGAATAATAAACACCAGTAAGCCTCCAGTACCTAATTTCACCAGGATTCGGGGTTTATGCTTTGACCCATGACATGCCAGAAGCTATAGTGAGTGCACTGGAAGAAGAGTCATGGGCTGATAACCTGCTTCTGCCGTTCACCAAGTATGACCAGAGTCAGGCAATTGCTTCATTGATTTTTTGTTTCATTGGCTTTTAAAAAGTAGTTTTATTAGCTATCTTTTTGTTTTTAAGTAAAAGAAGTATAGCTCAAAATAGCTCTATAAAAATAAAGAATATTTGCTTCCATTTGGCTGCTTCTAGAGGGGAAAAACTTGTTTTGGGGTCCCTCTCACTCTCTTCCCTAACCCTCACTGCTTTCCTCTCTGCAATATTATGCAGAATAGTGGTGAAATTAATCACATCCCGTATGTGGCAAGGGGAAGGTGCTGCTGTCAGCTCCAACCTTAAATTCATTATCACAGAGAAGGGAGGATAAATTCTCTGTCTCCGAGAGTCCACGTGTCTGAATTCAGCTGTTAGAATTCCATGCCCATTCCTGAATCAGTCTCGATGGCGAGGGTGCACACAAGCCTGCATGGTCTGGGCACCCCTATGGCCCAAGCAGCGCACATTTTCATTTCAGTCCTGAAGAACCCATGGACTAGAGGAGTGGTTTCCCAAAGGAAAAAGAGAGTGAGCCAAACGTTCAGAATTATAAGTGAGAACTGTTTGTAATTAATGCCCAACTCATAACAAATCAAATGTGATAGTGGAACAGAGATGTGTTCAGACATGTGAGACTCTTCACATGTATTTAGTGCATGCTGCTTTCCAGAAACTATTGGAGATATTTTAGATTTTTTTTAAAAAGGGGTAAACTAAGAACAAGAAAACATGGGAACAAGGAACCAGGGGTCCCGACAGAGGTAAAAAGAATCCCCACCGTGTTGGCAAAGGGCAGTCCCATCAGAGTTCTACACAGCTCTCTTGGGGAGGTTGCTTGGGGAGGGTTACTGAGCAAATTAATAAAACATATAGTGTACAGGAGGAACTTGAGAAGAATTTGACAACTCTGTCAGAAAATTTTGAACTAAATTCATAAATAATACATGGGAAATAGAGTAAAATAAAAAAAATGAGATAGTTAATACATATCAGGGATAAGACTAAAACATTTTTAAACTAAGGAAAAATAATCCTAGTTACCACATGGCTTTGCTGTGAATAATATTACATAGTTACAATTATGCAAATACTGACTAATGAGTGAACCAAAAAGGTGATATAAATATATATAACTATAATGGAAGGATGAGGGAAAAAGAAAGAGATATCGATAAGGGAAATGTAAAAAAGTTCATCTCTCTTTGTAATAAGGGATGATGCTTAAAACTGAAAAATAAATAAGACTAATCCTGTTGTTTACAATATGGAAGTAAACATACAAACAACCTTGAAGACTTGAAAACAAAAGCCTTGACAGTGATTACTTACGAGGAATAGGAATCAGAAAAGGGACTAAAAACGATGTTTTCAATGATAAATCATAACTGTTTAAACTGAAAACATGCATTATTTTGATTATATATAATGTATATACTATATAACACACTTATATCTTTTATAAAGATAAAAATTGAAATTATAATAATAGAAACATTACAATGAAAAAATAGATAAGCTTAGAGACTAAGGAAAGAGAATTTTCCAAGATAGTGTAAAAGTTTACTTGTGACGATTGATTAAGAAAAAAGAAATATTCTTTTTCATGCCTTTTCTTTATTTCAACTCCCATGCTACTTGAGAAGTACACATAATATTTCTATATTTGCTTTGACAAACTCTGCTTTTAACTTCTAAGGACAAATATCTTTTAAAAATCTACAATTATTTTACTTTATGGTTTCTCTATGATAATATTCTAATGAATTGTGGTTACATCATTATTATTTATACTACAAAGAGTTCATGTAACATTGCATTTAATAGTGTCATTTTAATTAGAACTATAAAAGATTACTTAAATCGAAGTCCACAGCAGTGAAGTTTCCAGAGAAAGACATTTCATTTTCATATCCTTCTTGGAATTTCATGCTTCCCAACATAGGCACCAAGGAAATTTTTTTCGCAATAAGCTCAGTAGTAATTTGGAAGGAACTGTTAGAGCCCATGGCCAATCGCCTAATTGAGACCTTGCAATTAGATCATTTGTGCAAGGGTTTGTACTTAATTTTCAGGAATTTGTTTTTTATAGGAAATTCAGTTGTACTTATCTCAGACATAAAGAGGCAGAATAATAAAAGGTCACATGCTCAGGAGCCAGGTTTCCTGCTATAAAAAATCACAACTCTGTCCCTTATTAGCTCTGAGAATTTGGACAAGTTCTTTAACTCTTTGTAACTCAGTTTTCTCATCTGTAAAATAGGAATTAATATTTTTGTGAAGGTCAAATGTTTATACAGGTAAAGCACTAAAGCAGTGCCTAGCATAAGAACTGCTTTTAAAATCATTTCTTTGAGTAAAAAGTGGACATTGGTTTATTGTCCATGTGAGACAAAATAATTTTAAATACTGCACTATGAATTGCTATATATATATATTACTTTTCAGTCCACGTCCTGGTGGTATTTATGCAAAGTTTCAAGAAGAGATAGAGAGGGATGGTTAAGTCTTAAATTGAAATAAAAAAACACAGATTAAAACACAAAAAATGTAAATTCCTCATAGGAAAAAATCATGATCCCTGTTTCAGTGTTTAAAGAATTGTTCACTTTATGGATGGAGTCTTTACCCAACCTCAGTGCAGTGATTCAAAAGGAGGAGACACTAGGAAGTCAATAGGAGCAACAGCATGGTTTAAAATAAAAGAAAAAACGTGGCTTCCTCAATAGTAATGTCAGCCCTGCTCTAATGGGATAATTCACCAGGAAGCAATAGGCACCCCCGAGATTCATGTAAAGTGAGCCAGTGTCACCTTCAGCAAGGACAGCAGGCAGCACCACGGCCACAGGGAAGTGAGGAAGGTAGGTCACCATCAGTGAATCAGAAGCAAACATTACTGGCAGTGTTGACAATGTTTCCGTAACTTGGGGACTCCATTAAGAGAAAGAAGGGACCTGGAGCTGGACTAGTAGTGTGACTCCAGAAGGACATATGGGCGCCCTGGCTGGTGCAGCTCAG